CTGACCACACAGGGCACCTTCACCTGACCACACAGGACACCTTCACCTGACCACACAGTGAACCTTCTCCTGACCACCCAGGGCACCTTCACCTGACCACCCAGGGCACCTTCACCTGACCACACAGGACACCTTCACCTGACCACCCAGGGCACCTTCACCTGACCACCCAGGGCACCTTCACCTGACCACACAGGGCACCTTCACCTGACCACCCAGGGCACCTTCACCTGACCACCCAGGGCACCTTCACCTGACCACCAGGGCACCTTCACCTGACCACCAGGGCACCTTCACCTGACCACACAGGGCACCTTCACCTAACCACACAGGGCACCTTCACCTGACCACACAGGGCACCTTCACCTGACCACCAGGGCACCTTCACCTGACCACACAGGGCACCTTCACCTGACCACCCAGGGCACCTTCACCTGACCACACAGGGGCACCTTCACCTGACCACCCAGGGCACCTTCACCTGACCACCCAGGGCACCTTCACCTGACCACACAGGGCACCTTCACCTGACCACCCGGGCACCTTCACCTGACCACACAGGGCACCTTCACCTGACCACCCAGGGCACCTTTTAGCATTTTTAAAACCGACTGCTCACAGCGCAGAGTTCACCTCAGTGACTGATGTCTCTGCTCTAAAGTCGCCTTGGCCCAGAGACCAAGAGGGTGTCTTGCAGGGAGAGCTGTGGGCTTCCCGCTGCTGGACAAATCAGAGCTCCGTGGTCAGCCGTCTCCCCCTCTGGGTTACGTCTTTTGTCTTGTATTTGTTATTTTTATCTCATTTCGTACTTGTTATCTTTGATCTCACTCCACCTGTGCTGTTTGGCGAGCTGTCTCGGGTCACTAGGCGGGGCTGTGCGTGGGCAGGAACCTATATTTGTCATTCACACTTGGACGCCCAGGCCCTAGCCCAGGACCAGCCACACAGAAGGGCCGTTGCATGCATGTAAGTGTGCATGTGTGTTGATGTATAAAGATGTACAGAGACCATCAGCTTTAAAATGTGCTAGAACAACGGCCACCAAGGAGCAAACGAGAGTCATGGGAGGTCGTGAAGGGAGCCGGCGAGTCTGAGCAGGGCGCTGCCTGCAGCCCCATCCTCACTCCCGGCAGCAGAGGCTCAGGAGGGTCGCGTGAGTGGGCGGCGCAGACAGGATCCAGACTAGGTCAGCTTGACTCCAAACACTGGGCACTTCACTCCACACAGTCTGGCTCCTGTTGAGAAGACATTAGGTGACTTCATCCAGCCACTGCCTTCAGAGGAGACCGTCCACAGAGCCATGAGCTCCCCACCCCCACGAGGATGAGTCACGCGCTGATGTCCTCGGCCACAGCTGAAGTCCCCATCGGCCCACTCAGTCTCTCTCCAGGGGAGGGCAGTTCAGAGGGAACACACACCTCCTGGGACTCCTCAATCCCCCCCAACCTGGTTTGCAGTTGTTCCCCTCGGAGATGAGGCACCACCAACCAGTTGCCTATCGGCTCATGAAGCTCTTCTCTGTTCCCGCCGCTCCGTCAGCCAGTCCTAGGGGTTCTACTGGCAGCTCTGTCCTGAGGCTCCTCTCTGCTCCCCCTCATCCACGCCACCCTCCCTCCTGGATCCCTGCGGGTCCCCAGTGTCCCTGCATCCACTCCGCCTTTGTCCTCCACTCAGCAGCCAGAGCCCTGTTTTCTAATGTCACCCAAATCACAGCCCTCCTTGTTCAAACCCTCCACTGCTTCTCTTCATGTTCAAAAACAAAACCGCCCTGCTCAGCCTCCGCCCTCCTCTCCAAGGGCCCTCCCTCCTGCTGAGCTCGCTCTTCCTCCAGGCCACCAGCTGCCGCCTCCTGGGCCCCTACACCTGCTGCTGCTCCAGCCCGGCCCACACGGGCACCTGTTCTGGACGAGACCTGCGAGGCGTGGCTGACCCCCACAGGACAGCCTCTCCCTGCCCTGACCGCTTCCTTGCCTTCGTAGCACTTAATGCAAACTGAACTTCCAGTCTGCCTCTAGGTGGTGACTTTGTGACCACCTATGTCCCCCATTGGAAAGCAAGAGCCGGGGAATGGGCACTGGATGGGCGTAGCCTGTGCCCCCAGCACGGGACGGGGCCTGGCACAGGTGGGCATCCGTTCATACTCTAATGCGTGCCCATCACACCTGATTTTTAAGACGTGCTTCTTTGGGGTAAAATGCCCTCGTTTAAGTATGTGTGAGCGAGAGAAGTTCGTGCAGAAGGCATTCAGTGGCCTGACCTCATTTTCTAATCTCTCCCAGTTGCCCTAAAATTGGCTGTGGCCACGCGGATGTGAGGATGTGTGATCTGGTCCAGGACGAAGCACTGAGAAGGGCGATTGAGAGTCACAACAAGAAAAGACACCGTCACTCCGAGTAGGAAAAGCCACCTGCCCGCAGCCACGCCCGCAGCCTACCTCCTGCCCCAGCCATCTGTAGAGAGCGCGCTGGTCACAGCGCTTCGACTGGCTGCATCGCACACTTTGTTTGGGGTAAAACTTGAAGATTTTAAATGCAATTGAAATCATTTTTCTATGTTACAATAAAAAGTCAAGGAAATTATATTGTTTATTTTTAAGCATTTTATAATTTGAATAAAACTTTGATAATCTACAGCTTGTCCTGTCTGTGCACCGCCGGAGGGGTAAGCTGTTCCGATGGTGCAGGCTGGGAGGTGCCAGGCCCTTCTAGCTCTCCTACCTCAGGCTGTCTTTTTTGTAGTTTGAACTCAGTGATGCCTTTCAAGAGATATTGGAAATGGAAACACATCAAAACATCCCAGCTGCAAGCATTTCCCATCAGGACAGTAAGCAAAGCGTGAGGTGACGAAGCAGAGCATGATGCTCCGTAGCAGGCTCGTCAGTGCCGTGGTGACTGCTGCCACCACACAGTGTCACCGTGGGAAGCCACCACGTCCTGTCCGTCCTCTGCTGTGGCTCCAGCCCCCGAGCCTTGGGGTCTTCGGCCATGAACTAAAGGCGCTGAACCAGTTATTTATTCTCTGATGCCCCTTTAGCCCAAAAGTCAGTGGACTTATGACCAGCAGGGTCTTTAAACTGAGTATCATTGATTATATTCTCATTGTGTGAAGAGTGCTACTCTATTAATAGTCTCCATATCAACGTTTTACCAACCAGAATAGTCAGTGAAGTCAAACACATCCTGACTACACTAGGAAACCAAGAATAGCGCAAAATGGCTAGTGCTTATTGAGCGCTTACTGTGTACCAGGATCTACTCCAAGACACAAATACAATAACTCCCGTAATCGCCTGATGAAGGTGCTACGGTTATTATTCCCATTTTCCAGATAAGTAAAATGAGGCACAGAGAAGTGAAGTAGCCCATGGGAATTCCCAGAGCTAGTAAGTGGCTGAGCTGGGATGGGGAGTTAGGTTGTCAGGTCTCAGAGTCTTCATGCTTCTCCTCCTGATTAATTCCTGTAGAATCTTAAAATACATCCCAAGTCCACATTGGAAAACTGAGCCTTTTGTAAATAAACAAGCATGTACGTGTGTGTGTGTGTGTGCGTGTGCGTGCGTGTGTGTGCGTGTGTGCAAAAAAATTTTCATTAAAATGCAGCGAATAACTGGATTGGACCTCAAAGAGGCAATGATGGCTCTGAAATAACATACATTTCCGCAGAAAAGCCTAGTCTGAAAATGGCAGAAGCAATGTTGAAAGCGTTTTCATGGAATTCAGAAAGCAGGGTGGTATTCAGTTGCTACAAACTGAGTGATTTTGAATTTCTTAAGATGCTTTATCTGAATCCAACTTCCTGAGGAAACTATTATGTTTAAGCCAGAACAAACATGCTTCCCATGGAATGTGGTTCTTTTGTGAAATACTTTATTTCCTAAGCAGATCGAGGCCGGCATGAAATGCTCGCCCGAGGTTCAAGCTGCGTTTTTCCCAACTCCTTCCGAAGAGAACGCAAGATATTAGTGTAGATGCCAGTCTCAGTCAGAAAAATGCGAAATGACACCATCCCACTGGGGAAGAGGGATGGTGCTCGCATCCGGTGGGCTGCTTCCTTTCCAGACTTCAGAAGCCATGTTTCACACATTTTTCTAGCCAACTTAAGAATTGAAAGTTTTAGATACATTTTTTTTTTTGCATCTTTGAAGATGTAAACATTAGATTGTCATTGTCATTCTGGCATATGTGTTCAATTTCTATTACAGGAGTTTTCCCAAGAAGTGAAACCTTTTCTTCACATGAAATCATATTTACCTTATTACTGAGAAACTCGATCATATAAGACAACTGAAAGGGCAGTCTTTCTAGTCAAGACGAGGTAGGACTCCAGCCCCTTCCTCCCGGGGCAGCCCCAGAGCCTCGCCTGAGATTACCCGAGGCCCCATGAGTGACATTTGAAAACCACACTACACATTGGAGCTAAACCAGCTTTTCAGATATGACTGATTTAAGACTTGGACAATTGTGTGAACATGGCATTTTTTATGTGCTAGTTCCTTTAAGAAACTTCCAGTTGGGTAAGTTTAAAACATTACCACAAACTCCGAAAGATGAGATCATTTATTTCTGGCCTGATACAGAACTTTGACCACGGGGTGTCCAGCTTGGAGCAGCTGCGTTCGGTGAGGGCTGCATCTGAGTGTTATGGGGGGAGAGAGAAATTACAGGACTAAGGGAACCAAGGCTGCCCTGAACTTATCGCTGGCTACACATCAGACTCAGGTCTAAGTGCCTAAATGTCACCTCAGTGAATCCTTTTGAATACCCTAGAACAGTGGTTCTCAACCTTCTGGCCCTTTAAATAAAGTTCCTCATGTTGTGACCCAGCCATAAAATTATTTTCGTTGCTACTTCATAACTGTAATGTTGCTACTGTTATGAATCGTAATGTAAATATCTAATATGCAGGATGGTCTTAGGCGACCCCTGTGAAAGGGTCATTCGACCACCAAAGGGGTCGCGACCCACAGGTTGAGAATCGCTTCCCTAGAAGGTAGGGTTGTTAGCCCATTTTACAGATGCAGAAACTAAGGCTCGGAGTCATCCTAGTCATTTGCCTGAGGTCCCTTGCTGATGTGTGGTGGAGCCCATAGTGGGTCAGAACAGTGAATGCAGAGCAAGCGATGTGACCCACCAGGCCCTTTGCCCCAGGCCCCTAGAGGACACTGGTGACCAACAGACCTGGTCTTCTGTCCCATCTCCCTTATTTCCGTTACTGAGACCATTTCCCAGGCTTGCAGGCCGCAGTCAACTGTCCAGTTAGCATAGCCCAGTGCTTCTCTTCTGCAGTTCCCTCTGCAAACACCCCGCCAAGTCCAGGCCCTGCTCCCTGCCTTCATACTTAGACTATTCGGCCGCCTTCCAGCTGGTCCCTGACCTCTAATCTTCCTCCTCCCTTATTAACCTGCTGGATTGCCGATGGGGTCATTCCACATCCTACTCAGAAACCTTCCTTTCGAGGGAATGCAGTTCAGGCACAGCACTCGGGATTCTGCCCCAGACCAGCCCCATTCCCGCCTCCCCAGCACTCCCACTGTCCCCACACTTCAGCTCACCTTGTCTATTTGACAGGGTTGCCTCCAGGACTGGAGTTAACCCTCGGCACTCCTGACTAGCACCTGTAGATGGCCGTGGGCAGGTCACTTCACTGCTCCAGGCCTCAGATTTTTCCTATAAACACAAAGATTTGGACTTCCCAAGGTTTCTCTAAACCAGGGGTGGGCAAACTTTTTGACTCGAGGGCCACAATGGGTTCTTAAACTGGACCGGAGGGCCGGAACAAAAGCATGGATGGAGTGTTTGTGTGAACTAATATAAATTCAAAGTAAACATCATTACATAAAAGGGTACGGTCTTTTTTTTTTTTTAGTTTTATTCATTTTAAACGGGCCTGATCCGGCCCGCGGGCCGTAGTTTGCCCACGGCTGCTCTAAACCCTAATTTCCAGGACACATTGTCAAGGAATAGGACATTGGGGAAGTATATGGCCCTTGGAAGGAAAGCAGGCTGGCATGCAAATCAGTATGTATGTGAACCAAATGTGATTCTTCAAATACTTGTTAAGGCCCACTTTCTGCCATGTTTTGTAGTAGTTTCTTTGGATACAGAAATCTCCCTTCTGAAGGGATTCTTGTCTAGTTGGGGCAGACAGATACATAAAAAAGTAAACTCCACAGAAGGTCATATGAGTGCCTTGTGTAGAGAGAGGACAGTAACACAAAGAAAAGAAATGCAGAAAAATTATTGAGTAAACAAGTTGTGTTTCAGTAAATCAGGTAACAGGAATCAAAACAAGTTGAAAAGTCTGAACCCTTCTGATTGGCAGATGTGGGTAAACCATGGAGGATTACCCAGCTGCATTGGAAATTCGTTACATTTTGGAAATCTGCCTTCTGGCTTTTACCAAACTTTGTGGAGGGGTAACTATTCTGAAAAGAAGGCCATTAAAACGGAAAGGGAGCAGGAACTCTCATGCATTGCTGACGGAAATGCAAATCCATGCAGCCACTTGGAAAAGATTAGCTTAAAAAAAATTAAACAATTCACCACACAACCCAGCAATTCCACTCCTTGGTATCTACCCAACAGGAGAGAAAACCTATGTTCATACAAAGACTTATGTATGAATGTTCTTTTTAAAATATATTTTTATTGATTTCAACTTATGTATGAATGTTCTTATTAAAATATATTTTTATTGATTTCAGAGAGGAAGGGAGTGGGAGAGAAAGATAGAAACATCAATGATGAGAGAGAATCATTGATTGGCTGCCTCCTGCACACCCCCTTGCCCCCACTGGGGATTGAGCCTGCAACCCGGGCATGTACCCTGATTGGGAATTGAACCATGACCTCCTGGTTCATAGGTCAACACTGAGTCATGTTGGCCAGGCTGAATGTTAAGTAGCATGATTTATAATAGCAAAAAAGTGGAGGCAATCCTTATGTCCAACTGGTGAATGGATAAGCGAAAGGGGTGGGCCCTACAAGGGAATTCTACTCCATACTTACTAATACATGCTATGACGAGGTTGGACATTGTGTACTTAGATGAAATGTCCAGAAAAGACACATCTGTGGGGACAGAGAGTAGATTAGTGGTGGCCTAGGGCTGGAGGCGAGAATGGGGAGTAACTTGCACAAGGGGTCGCTTTGGGGTGAAGGAAATGTTCTAAAACTGGATTGTAGTGATGGTTGCACAACTCTGGATTTACTAACAGTCATTGAGTCAACACTTGAAACAGGTGAATTTGATGGTCTATGAACGATACAAACAAATAAGCTGAGAGGGAGGGAGAGCTTAGTCATTTAAAGAGCGAGCAGCTCTAAGAGCTCCCAGTGCCCCAACTTCACCTGGTTACCAAATCTCATCCATCTTCTAAGAAGAGTCTTGGAGTCTTAATCACACAGATTAGAGGGAAAGAAGAATTCTAATCAAGCCTCAAGAAATCCCGGATTAAAAGATGCAATTACTATAAAAAAAAAGTTAAAGGTTAATGAAAGGATAAGATTATTGGCTGATAACAATAAGGAACTTAATTTGATCCATTTCTATTTCTTTATCTCCCAGTTGTATATTTCATTTCTATGCGGTGATTACTAACAGTAATCAATGGTTCTTATTAGCTAC